TGCCTAAACTTGTTGATTTCCTCAGCATTCATATATCTTTGAGCTTTTGTGAATAGTTCTGGCATGCTCTTTGGTGGTTGCTTTATTACTGAAAAAAGGAATCTGGATGAGCAGAGGCCTCCCAGGAAGGCAGTCATGGCGACTTTGTCATTGGGTTCCTCGATTTGGAGGACTTCCTCGTTAAAACGAGTGAGGTAACTCCTTAGACTCTCATTACGATCCTGTTTTATGCTGAGCAGATGGATGACAGGCTGCTGCTGACGGCGTCCACCAATGAATTGTGTCACAAAGGATCTGCTCAGTTCGGCGAAGGAGCCTATAGAGGCCGGGGTGAGTTTGGCGAACCATTGTCGCGCTGATCCCTTCAAGGTAATTGGGAATGTCTTAGACATAATTTCGTCGAGGACGTTGTGTAGTTGCATCATGGTCTTAAAAGTTTCGAGGTGATCAAGTGGGTCCTTCGTACCGTCAAAGGTTTCAACGGATGACATTTTAAACTTCTTGGGAAGTGGGTAGTTCGTCACGTTAGGTACGAAGGGTGTGTTGGTTCGACTTATAAGGCAGTCCACTGTCTCGGGTCTCTGTGCTTTCATAGTGTTGAAAATGTCGTCTTGTTGATTTTGTACCTCTTTTATTTTTTCGTCCCAGTGGTTGGGAGCTCCTTTGGAATTATCTTGGAAATGGCTCCCATGCTCCATGCTCTGGTTCTCACTCTTGTCCTCTTGGAAAAGAAAGCCCCCACCATGAGAAAAGGGAGCTGGAAGAGGAGGTGGAGGTCCCCCGTGGGGAGCTCCCCTATGAAGGGCACCCAAGGGAACTCCAAAGGGGGCGCCCAAATAGGGAGCAACAAGTTGTGGAGCTGCTTGATGTGCAGGGCGTGGAGCTCTTTGATATGCAGGACGTGGAGCTCCTTGGGGTGCTCCATGTTGTGCACCTCCGAGTGGTGCTCCTCCTTGGGGTCCTCCATGTTGTGCACCTCCGAGTGGTGCTCCTCCTTGGGGTCCTCCATGTTGTGCACCTCCGTGTGGTGCTCCTCCTTGTCCAGCAAGTATGAGTTGCAGTAACTGTTGGTTTTGAGCAACCAGTTGTTGCATGGTCTCCAACATTTGCTGGGGATTCGGAGCTAGAGTATCTGGGACAGAGTTGGTAGGCGGGGGAGCAATCTCTTCCTCTCGTGGAGGATTGTCTTCAGGTTGGTTCATGAATCGGGTAGTGATTNTGGTTTTAAGCAACCAGTTGTTGCATGGTCTCCAACATTTGCTGGGGATTCGGAGCTAGAGTATCTGGGACAGAGTTGGTAGGCGGGGGAGCAATCTCTTCCTCTCGTGGAGGATTGTCTTCAGGTTGGTTCATAAATCGGGTAGTGATTGCCATTAGTTCAATGGATGTAATGTTCAGGAGTGAGAATTTTGTCGTTTTTCACAGACGGCGTCAAACTGATGATGCGCAAAAATGGTTTTGCACACCACCTGTCAAGTGTAGGTAATAAATGCAGTGAAATCAATGAAAAAATTGAAGAAAACACGATTTATAGTGGTTCGGTCAATTCGACCTACGTCCACTCTTTAATGGCTTCAGTTGCCGGGTATTTTATTAATTCAGAGGTATGGAGAATAGAGATACAAGCTTTGAGAGAATGGAGAATCAAAGAGGAGTGGTCTCCGGTTGTCGGTCTGTCCTCTGTAAGTGTTGGTGGGGCGTGACCTTCATCTCTCTTCTCCTCACAGATTGGGGCTACTTTATAGCAGCTAAGAGATCATTCTTGTGGAGATCATGACTTATCCTCAAGGCTACTTTATCGCAGCTAAGAGATCATTCTGGTGGAGATCATGACTTATCCTCAAGGGAAGGAGGAGGTTGGGGAGCTCTTCATGAAACGTGGTCAAAGTTTGGACCGTTTCCTTCGGTGGTGCAGATAAGCTTCTTATGCTCTCCTCTTGATGACGTGCTAAGCAAAAAGTCTAACCGGTCTTGGACTGTCTTGGGTTTGGTAGATTCAAAATGAGGTTGGGCTCCTCGACTGGAGTTGGACTTTAACACATAAATTAGACTATTTGGGCTTAACCCATCAGAAATAACTTCAATTGGAGAAAAATAAAGGAAGAGAAAGGGCTGAGCTTGGTGGTTT